AAGATGTGCTTGTTTTTAGAGACATTATAAGCTGGATTGTGCGTTACTCTCTAAAACTCTTTGGAACATTCAAAGCAAAAAGGATACCCTTTGGATAAAATGGGTCAATCAAGTTCTCCTTCGTGGGATGGACATTTGGGAACGCATCGTGAAAAAAGACGTCTCCTCCCTTCTTAAAAAGGTGCTGGATATCAAGGATTGAATCTTGGGGCCTGAACGCAAACTTCAGGCTGGACTTGATAGGCTGGTTGGCTGGACAGAGGCAGGCAGTTTCAGCATTTCGGCTGCCCATGACTTCTTCAGGCCGAGGGACGCTAGGGTTGTATGGGCAGCTATGTTTGGAATGCACATTACTCCCGAGCATGCTTTAATTCTTTGGTTAGGTGTTAAGTCCAGATTACTAACTGAAGAAAAAATTCAGCATTTGGAATTGGACCAAAGATGTGCATTTTGCGGACCAACGGAGGAGACGGCACATCATCGATTTTTCTCCTGTCCATTCAGCAGTTTCTTTTGGGGGCAGATTCGTAGGTGGCTGGCCATTACACGCACAATGTCTACTTTGCCGAGTGCATTGAAATGGATTAGAAAGGAAGCACAGGAACGACTTGGAAAAGCAAAGTTAAGCATATTGCACTTGCTACTTCCATCTACTATGAGGATCTTAGGTCACAAGTTGATTGCATTGTAAAATGGATTAAAACACACGTATACAAAGTTCGTTCTCCTTCTATCCGCATATTTTAATCCATTTTGAGTCTTTAGCTTTGGATCCTTAGCTATTGTCGTTTGTATATCTTTTCATTTTGTTTGCCCGGGTATGCCGAAGTACTTGTAATTGTCACTTGATTTTTGTTTGTTCTGGTATGCTCGGTGAGTTTTGATCAATACATTTACCGATTAAAAAGAATGATACCATAAGCAACAAAAACAAAGAAAGCTCAATAACAATCATACATCCAACCAAATAATTATTATATTCAGAAACTATACGAAAAATGAGGAGAAACAAACCCGTTAGATAATAGAAGAGCCGGCGGGGAGCCGGGAGCGAGAGTTTTGTCTGTGGTGAGAGAAAGTCCGGCGATTTTGCCGGCGGCAAGGACGGCGAGCGGCGGAGTATCAGCGGCGAATGACAGCTTGAGTTCCATTTCTGGTTGAGTGAGAGAGTGAGAATTTGAAACTACGGGCCGTCCCTAAGAAGCCTAAAGAGCGGAAATGATTATGCGTTCCGCTTAAGCGAATCCAGCATAATTGTCAAATCGGTTTATTTGATGGATCCTGAAAGATCCGATTGGGCCTCTATCTCGCATTTAAGATTCGCTTAAATTAAGACCCGTTTGGAATTGACTTTTCACTCCAAAAACTATTCTATCAGTAATTTTTGACTTATTATTTCATATGTGATATTTACTTTTCTTTTAATGATCAAAAAGTTAATTTTCAAAATTACTATCGAACAAATCCTAAAAAATTCACTGCTACATAGGATGAGAATATATCCCTTTTGTCTCTTCCTAGCGCAATTCATAGAAAGAAAATCTTGGGTTGCTTTTAGTTTGCCAGCTGTTTTTAGTTTTATAAAACATTGAAAATGTATTTAATTTGGTATTTTTGAAAACAAAGATAAACAAGGAAAAATGGACAATTTTATTTGATATTACTCCGTTCGTCCTGTTTATGTAGGCTAATTTTTTTTTTTTTCATACAGACTAAGAAATTTTATTTAATGTTATTGAAAAATCAATTTTTGCAAATAGTTTCATAATTTACCTTATTTAATAATCAACAACTAGTAGTAAATAATGTCGTTTTTGTCCATGTTTCTAAAATGAAGTGGAAAATGTATGTACGTATTTGAATAATTTCAATAAGGTAAATTAAAATCTATATAATTTCAAGATAAAGTGAGAAGAATTGGTTATGACTAGGTAAATTAAATGAGGCTATATTAGCATACGAACAAAATAAATTCTTTCTCAATTAAGAAATAGGAATATATAAAACGGGACAAGAAAATAAAGAAAGTCGGTCTATATAAATGACATAGAAAGATTAACATAAAACTCAAAACTCGCTTTTGACATTTTCAGTGTTTTCATTACATTATGAGCTTTTCAGTAGTTTCTATGAAAATTCTAAAAACACTCAAAACATGGAGTCAATGAAATTTTATTTAAATAAAATCTTCAAAATTAAAAATATGGAAAATTTTATATTTTAAAAATTAAAATTAAAGAAAAATAAATTATAAAAATTTCTAGAAAAATAAAAATAGTTCATATTTACATAAAAATACCAAAATAAATGTTTAAATGAACACATAAAAATATTCTCAATCCATGTCATTAATTTATTTTTAGGGAAATTAGCACTAAACGTCCCTACCTTTCGAGATTTTTGTGAAAAATGTCTCTATCTTTCGTTTTTTGGCAGATTTCACCATCACCATCACCTTTACCTTTTTTTTTTTTTTTACACAAAACGTCATTCTGTCAACTACCCGTTAAAATGCTCCGTTAAATCAAAAGGTAATTAGCACAAACGTCCTTACCTTTCAATGTTATCGTACAAAACGTCTCAACCTTTCATTTTTGCCATAATTAGCACAAAATGTCTCTACCTTTAAATGTTATTGTGCAAAACGTCCCTACATTTCATTTTTTAGCATTTTCACCTATACATTTCACCTTTCATTGCACAAAATGTCTTTTTAATCATTTTTTTCAATAAAATGACGATTTTACCCTCTCATTCAAATAAAACAAAAGGAAAAGATGAATTACAAACTGCAACCATAATCCTTAAATTTTTAAAAAAATTACAAAGAAATTATAAATTCTTAACCACCACGATTTTCACAACCTATCAAGCTGCCACCTATAGATCAACATAGAGTGACCTTTCGGCTACCATGCCCATCGGACTCCACCATCGTCCTCTCACACACGAATTTGAAAGATTGGAGTACTTAGGACCCACCAATTTTGGTTCTCTCACCGTGAATCGTGCTCGTAGAGAGTTTTGGACCAGAAATTAAAACGGTTGAGGGGATAATTTATTCAATTAGATTCATACACATTGTCGTTTGGGTTTGTTGATGGCTCGATTGATGCCAATTTCAAAATTTAATGTTGTGGGATGCATGAATTGAAGGAGAAGATTTTGACAAAATGGACGTTGTCACTATCGAATGTTCTAGAATTACAACAAAATGATTTGATGCAGTTTTGATTGATGTGAGGCTGTGTATAGATTCGTCGAGGCGAGATGTAATCGTTGATGGTGGTGCGTGACCGTGGGTAGCCCCAAAAGTGGGATTGTTATAAAGGGTTGTATACGACAATCTGGTATTTTGGCTGTAAATGTGATTGTTTCTCGGTCAAGTTGGTGACCAATAATATGAAGGAGGATATTGGAGAGAGTGAGGCGAGGCCGGTGGTGGTGGAGTCCGATGGGTGTTATGGTCGAAAGGTGGTGCTATATGAATCTATAGGTGACGACTTGGTGGGATTGAGAAAGTGGTGACAGTGGAGAATTTAGAACTTATTTGTAATGTTTTGAAAGATTTAGGACAATAATTGCAATTAGTTATTTAATTTTCTTTTCTTTTCTTTTTGTTTTATTTGAATAGAAGGGTAAAATCGTTATTTTATTGAAAAAAAAGGATAAAAATGACATTTTGAGCAATGAAAGGTGAAAGGTAGGGGTGAAAATCCCAAAAAATAAAATTCAAGGACGTTTTGCACAATAACATTAAAAAATATGGACATTTTGTACTAATTATGCCAAAAAATGAAAGGTAGGATCGTTTTGCACAATAACATTGAAAGGTATGAACTTTTTGTGCTAATTACCCTTTGATTTAACGGAGCATTTTAACGGAGAATTGACAGAATGACGTTTTGCACAAAAAAAAGGTAAAAGTGGGTGAAATCTTCCAAAAAATGAAATGTAAGAACATTTTCCACAAAAATCTCGAAAGGTAGGAATGTTTTGTGCTAATTACCCTTTATAATTATTATATATATATAATATAAAATTATCATATGCACACAGAGGTCACAATGTACCTTTAATATTTTTTCTAATTATTACAATTTCTACCCATAATTTGCAGAGATTTCAAATGTATTCTTAAAAAGAGAATAATTAAATTACTATTTGTAGGATAGACGTAAAAGAAATAAATATTTAGTTCTCATATGAATTTTCAAATTTAAAGAACCTGCAAAATCGATTCCAATACATGGTATCTACAAAATATATATATTTTTATTTTGGAATGACTTGATTTTTGCAATTTTGTGAAATGTTTCTCATTTCTCAACTTTTAATTTAATTGTAGGATTTATCAAAATTTTCAAATAAATACCTATTTCATAATGGTTCGTTATCAAATACTATACATGAGCACTATTATAATAAAATAATAACATAAGACTTGAGTGAATCTAACATAAATTTACAAAAAGTATCATAACATCAGTTAATTTGGTAAAAAAAAATATGGACCAATAAAAGTAAATATAAATGTAATTTAAGAGAGATCGGAGAAGAGTTTTGACAAGATGAGAAGGAAGAGAAAATGTCGATGTAAACAAGTTTAAATTAAGTGATTCTCAAATTTTAAAAACTTGAATTGAATCTTATCCTTAATCTCTTGAAATATATTTAAATTTTCATTGTAAGAGTAAGAATTTTGAGAATATATACACTTTAAGATATCATATAGAGGTATGTTACACCGTTGGGATATGGGAAATGCAGAAGGATCAATTGTGATTACCCTCTCTAGTGTACACGCACAATTACCAAACTCAAGTTTTTGAAATATTTCATAACTCATTTATCACCATATCTTAAATGGACAGGAATATTTCGGAGAAGTTCTATATGCCATTTGCCTTTCTTCCGTCTTTGACATTCATTTTTACGACGACATGATTAGACGGCAGCGAGGAGTGTAATCTTCGATCATTTTTTCAACCACCGGAGAGTCAACCGAATAAAAAACAATTATATTAAATTAAAGGGGTAATTTCCTCAACACAAAAGTAATCACAAAGCTGGATTCACAATTCAAATATCGACCAGTTTTTGTCCATTTCAAGCGTGAAAGAAATGAATAATTTTATCTAGCTTCAATCTACATGACCATACTTGATAGATTCAATTTAATAAATAATGGAACATTGCTTCTAAACAAATCTATCATTTAATGCCATGCTGTTATTACTTAGATTGATGCTTGATACTATTGGTGCTGAATAATGAAAGAAATAGAGTAAGCTGGAGCCCGACAAATTGCTACAAATTTGTGGAGACGGTAAAATACTGGAAATATTACTGATCAATACAGTGCAGTGCTCTCCATCCTGCATTCTTTTCATTATTTTCCAAGCATAAAACCAGGACCTGACATCACACAAAGAAGATGGTATTTGAGCAAATATATCCAAATGTAAAAAGGATTTCAATACACAATAATCTAGGAGAATAGATTTTTTTTATTTCAGGGTTTCCTCAGCATTTTTATGCCATCTCCACCATTTTTCTTTCTGAAAAGAACAAAATCAAGAAGAGCCCCGTAAGAAAAAAAAACTTTCCCAGAAGGATTGAACAAAACTGGAATATATCATATAAATACTTACCGTGATTTCTCTGAATCTATCTAAGCTTACCATCTTTTAAGGTATTCATTTGGTTGAATCCCTGTAGAGGAATGAGTGAGGCTGTCCGAGCATGACCTAACTAGGGTTAGTATTCTCCCATCGTCTCTTCTGAACTTTTAAATTCGAAGTCTAACCCGGGTTAGATCATGCTGGCAGCTTCACTTATTCCTTCTCTAGAGGAAATTTCTTAACTGCCTCATGGCCCTATGAGAACCTTGAACCTGAAGAAAGAAGAAAAGAAGGAACGAATTAAGATGACTTTAACTGCACGAATCGACTTTAGAGAACCAAGAAGGGGGTGGGAATTGCTTGTTATTTATAAGAGGAGGTTGGAGAAAAAGTAAGGCCCGTTTCATTTCACGAAATTTTCATAATTCGAATTCTATCTTTCACTTTTAGCCTGTTTGATTGATAAAAATTTTCAGGGAATTGATTTTCCATGAATTTCTAGGTACAATACCTTAAAGCGTGATTTTCCACCTTTTATTTTTCTAGGGGATAGGTGGTTTTTGGTTTTCCACCTTTTTTTTTTCTTTTTGTCTTTTTTTTTTTTAATTGTTAGCAATGGGAACAAATTTTAGGAATAATTGTAAAAGAGGATATCCCTGAAATTGACAATTTTCATATAAAACAAAGTCAAACGAACACCAAAATATAAATTATTTTTTTTATCTTTTTTTTTTCCTTTTTTTTTTATTGGCAATGGAAACAAATTCTGGGAACAATGGTAGAAGTGGATATCCCTTAAATTGACAATTTTCATGTAAAACAAAGTTAAATAAATACCAAAAAACACTTTTATTTCAACATTTTCCACGTAAAAAATTATATCAATCAAACATAATAATTTAGAATTCTCTGAAAAATAATTTTTAGGTAATTCAATTCCCTAAAATTCATTTTCTTTCCATCTAAATTTCATTTTCGCAATCAAACTGACTCTAAAAGTAAAATAAGAAAATAAGCAAAAAGGACATGAAAACAATTGTAAAGAGTGAACTAAAGCCGAGTAATGTGGGCAGGCCAAGAAAGAGATGGAACAGAACGAGAGAGGCTAGGGACAGAAACACAGCTAAGAAGCTAATATAGGCTTATAGATATTCATCTGTATGTTACAGATGTTGGAAATGTAGGGCGACGGGACAAGGATATAGCTTAAAATATTTATTGCTCAACAAAGTTAGAGTGAGACCTAGCCTAGTTAATAATTCTAAAGTCAAAGAGCCATTGTCAGTCTAAGCATGTTTTGCTAAGCTTTTAACATGTTTTTTTTGTCATTATATAATCAGAGCATGGTGTAGAGCATCGCTGAACATGGGACAGGCCTGTTGCGTAAAGGGATTGGCTCTTAAATGAACAGTACTTAATGAGATGTATTGTCAAAATATTATGGATCAAGTAAAATGTTTAGTTAAATTCCACTAGATATTAAAATCAAATTTTAATCTATATCAAATAAAATTATGGCTTTGAAAAAGTGATAATTCTACATGTACATTATAGTATTCATAAGAGTGTCTATAATGTACATGTGGAATTTCGTGATTGAATGGTTGAAAAAACTGTTTTTTCCACTTTCTATGATGTTATGTCACTTGTATATTATGGACACCATAATGTATATGTAGTATAACCTTTGCAAAAAATGGTTACATGTACCCGGTAATAATGAGTCATTAAGTATTATTGTGGAGGTAGTAGACTTTGAACTCAATAAGTTGAATCGAGTTTCAAATCGTGAAAAGATGGAGTGACCTCATATCTTTTGCATCTTCATAAAGAATTCAAGTTGTCTTCAATGGTTCAAGAACCAGTAGATCATTTAGTTATGAACCGAAATAAGCCATGTTATAATGGCTAGAGATCTAATTCTACTAAATCAAATGGAGTGTTAATGAATAAAGTCTACTTTGTTATTATAATTCCTAGTCCATTCCTCCATCTCTCTTGATGTGTCCTATAATCTTGCAATAAAACAAACTTGATTGTTGAAATTCGATCTCGACTTACCCTTCGTCAATCACCATGAACGATCTTTTCCATCTCTGGACTCTGATCCAACCAAATATTTCATCTTTTTTCTGAGAACAGGATGTCATATGCATTTTCAATTATAAGAGTATCACAATTATACAAAAAATCGTGTCCCTAATCAAAGTAAGCAAATCGGGCAACGAACACAACATGATTAAAGCTAGATTTTCTTCATCATACTTTACATTTAATATCTCGAAATTAGAGATGATGATCTTGAATACAGCCAGCTGATCTTTTAAAGATCCGTCTTCTGTGATATGTGATGATTTCTCTTTTCAATTCATAATTTTGACCTTTTCAAGATGGCTAATCCAAATCGCACAACTTGGGCCACAAACCAAACAATGAGCTTGCCAGCTGGGGCCGGGGAGTCTCAGAGGATCGTTGACATCTCATAGCATCTTTATAAGCTGTTGATGCAGAATAAATGCATGCGTATACAAATGATGCTTCATAAAGGAATAGACTCTAAGACCTATATAGGAATAGAGAGGTCCTTTCTACTTTTGCTAAAGCGCCCTATATATTCATTTACAGCTGGGATTTGTGTCTGAATGAAAAAAATATGCAAAATATATTCTATTTCTCTTTGTATGCTAACAGTACCAGCATGTTTATCCAGTCACAGAAGATAAAATGCAAAGAATCAGTCAACTGCAAAATTTATAGCATGCTCTATTCAGCCCCGTTTGACGGAATTTATTTCAAATTTTTTGTTTTACGTTCTTATTTTTTATCGTACATTCACGTAATAAAATATTATACATACACGTAAATTTAAAACATTTTCTTACTTTTTAATCACATATTCTTAAAAAATTCACTATTCAAAACTTTATTTTTTATCAAATGGTGACCATCAAACAAGCGCTTATTGTCTATCCTTTCACATGCATTCGTATTGCCAGCCAGCTTTGAATTGGAGTTAGGGATGAGCAGAAGCACTAACTCGAACCCTTCTATTTATTTATTTACTTTTTTTTTTGGGATATCCAAGTATCCCAACTTACACTAGACTAAATCTTGGACCCCCGAGATCCTTGCCCCTAGAATCTTGGAGGAGGTAAATCGCGGGTTATGCCTCAACTGGATCACAGGTTCCTCCCACCGCCTGTACACTTCTGCACACAAGAGATCTTCCTTTAAAGTGATTGCTCCATACCAAATAAATCTGGCCGCAGGTTCCCACCAAGATTCGAACCTCCACCCTTCCATTGGAAGCAAGACAAATGTTGATTGATCCACCAGTTGAGCTGTGCCCCGGGGGGCCGAACCCTTCTATTTTGCTTAAGCTTTATATGGCTGTATGTGTTAGAACCAAGAATTGGTTGGGTCCTATCAATTCTCAGTTCTATTACTCTCAACCAAAACCTGAAATGAAATTTAATTTTGATATGTTTAGTTCTGCCATTTAGAGAAATATTTTAATCTATGTTTAATGCAAATTCTCTTGTTATTATCAATGATTCCATTTATGATACTTTGGTTCTTGTTTTGGTTCAAGAATCGTTTTTGCACATTCCTATTGGAGGATATATAGCATGAGAGAGAGTGAGAGGGACAAGTTTTGGTCAACCTATGTTGTAAACTAAAGGTTGAACTCCAACATCCCGCCATTTACCTTCTTCACAAACCTATAGGGATGGGGCGGTGATAATAGTAGTGTTATGCTCTATGCAAAAGTATGATTGTAGCTTGGAAGTCCAATTTCACAAAAAGCTACTATTTAAGTGGATTTGCAATGGTCATTAATTCTTTGAGAAAATGTACACCAAATTCATGAATCTTATCATGATTTCATGGAGAAAAGGAAAAATCATGCTCCAGAACAAGGACAAATAATTTTCATAACCATCGAAGCATTGCCATTATTGATTATACCTTACTTTTCTTAAGGAAAATATCAATCCAAATTGATATGAAATAAATTTCTTGTGGAACCATATGCGGGGTTAAAAGATTTCAGTAAACGTTCTTGGTGATTGGCCAAACATTTCTTGATGGACGAATGAGGGGGTTAAGAAAGGAGCAGTTAATCATAATTCATCATTGGAAGCGTAGCAAATAGATCCCCAGAGTAAAACATGGTAATCTAATTTGTTACTTCAGTTCGTAGTTGCAAGGATAGATTCAACTGATATAGGTAGTTTTTGTGCAAACAATCCAAGGCCAAGATGCATTATTTGCAGATTTCAACCTGTGTTTCAGAAGTCATAAATTGCCCGGCGAATTCCGTTCAAAAAGTGAGGTAGCTATCAATTGTCTATTTTGCGGTCAGTAGTTAAGATAGGGGCGTTAAATGAAGTGAGCCGAGCTGCTTGGCTCACCTATTTCCAGATTCAACTAGGCTTGCCCTTGATAGGACAACCCACTCGCAGCTCGCCATTTTTTTAAAAGTTAGAAATGGCACTTTTAGCTAAAATGAGAGCTGCTTGCGAGCCTGAGGTGAGCTGGCTCTCCGCTTGTGCCAGCGGATGAGTGGCTGCTCAAGGCTCACCCCACTTAATACCCCTAAGTTAGATTTCAAATATTGATATTGGGATGGGAGTTGTCAATAAAACTGACCATGCATTGATTTAAGTGTACCACTGACAAGATTTTAACTTTGTTTTTTTTTTCTTTAATACTATCGAGTCATGTCCAATGCTCCTGGCCTAACACGCCAAAACTGTATATACTCAATAGTAAGTAACCTGGGCAAGAAGAACATTAAAAACTACGAAGCACAGGCAAAATTTATTTTTAACAAACAAAATTATTCATTTGATTTAGTTACAATAAGGAGATATATTATCTGTCTTATCACAAATTATATAAATTGCAGTTAGCAGAATATTAGGCAATATCATAAAACAAAATCCTGAAACTGCCTAGTAAGCCACATCATGTGATTATAGATAAACATTTTAGTTAAAGACTAAGCAATTCAACATTTGCAAATGTCTACTTGAGAAGGATGAAAAACTACTCTATTTACCACTCAAGGGATGGTAACTTTAGGCAAAAGTGCAGTGTATTTCCCAGAGGCCTTAATTACTCATTTTCAGAGAGAGCAAATTTATTGTCTGAATTCCACGAGAGAAAGGTCCACTGTACTCAGAAACCTACATTTACATGAAGGTAAATGATCCCAACATATCCAATGTAAGTTCAAGTTATGAAAACTACAAAAGGAAAACGGATTTGATAATCATGCTCTTCATAAAAAATAATCGAACTATAAGAAAATGATAAATTACGTGGAAGAACCCACCTCAGTG